AACATGCTGACTATTATCCAAGTGGGGAACAAACATGCAGATCCCCAGATATTAATACGAAGCAAGCACTTCATTCAATTTGATGCAATTTTGATCAGAAAGAGAAAAAGCAGGCTAACAACTTCATCATCAAAGAAATGTTCACGTTTAAATCAAACTATCTGAGGATGAAGCCTCAGTCCCCCTTCCTCACCAGGTAGAACAGAAGGTGGAAGAAAAGAAAAGATGGGTCCAAAGTCCACAAGGTGCCTCCTGAGGCTGATCCTGCTCAGAGAAGGTGGGGGAAGTAGATTGTCTGCTGGGACTGCCACACCAAAATTCCCTGGGCTGGATGGCTTAAAGGAAGGACATTTTCTTCTAACAGTTTGGAAGGCTGGGAAGTCCATGATAAAGATCCAGAAAGGTCTGCTTTCTGCTGAGGACCCTCCCTCTGATTTTCAGATGCTACCTTCTGTCCATGTCCTCACATGGCCTTTCCTCACTGCATGCATGGAGGTTGGGGGTGGAGGAGAGCTCAGTGGGGTCTCTTTTTATAAAGACACTAATCTTATTGAATCAGGGCCCCATCCTTATCATCGCCTTTAACCCTAATTACCACCTTATATGCTTTATCTTCAAATGCAGCTATACTGGAGGTTAGAGATTCAAGATAAGAATTTCCGAAGCACAATTTGGTCCATAGCAGGTGGGTTTGGGGACACAGCCAAGGCAGGAATGAAGGCAAGGCTGGGCTTCTAGTCTCAGATCACAGAGCACAGAGGTGGTTCCCACAACTCAGGACACTGGCAGCTCCTCCCAGGTAGTCTAGGTAACACAGAGACCACATTCCAGCCTTAGGGGCTATTGATAATGAAACATTATCACTCTTAAGCTCTCCCAGTATTTCTATGATCAGACTTCTGTCTTAGGGTTATTATGGGGTTTGTCTACCATCTAGTGTCAGGATTGTGGCTTAGCATCTTATATAGGATTGCAGATGCTGAGTCCTAGTGAGTCTTGACTATGAGTCTTTTCATGGATATTAATGAAGGAGATGCTAGGCCAGATTCATCCATCACTAGACCAGATTCACAAAATAATTTCTCTTGTCAGTAAACTAGTTACATAGTTGAGGACAAAAGATATTCAGAAAAGTCATTTGTCACAAAAATATTATGAGCTAGATTCTATGACCCATGTGAGATGCCAAAGGTTTTGGAAAAGAGATGGTGGACCACGAGGAATACTGCAGGACATAATGGTAGGGGTGGGAATGGGAAGCACAGGGTGCTGTTCTGGAACTGTCATCCCAGTCTCCTTCCTCCCATGCAACAAACCCTTTCAGGACAGCTCTGAGGACCACTGCAGCTAAAGAGGTGATAGGGGTATCTTTCAGATGCCCCATTGTCTGCAGTCATTGAGCCTGCATCAGGATCACCTCTACTTGTATTTCTAGGACACCTGAGGTATTTATCCAAGTACAGCAGGTAGTGTTGGGTGTTGGTAATTACATGGAACATCCATTATGTTCCAACAGAACGTGCCCATTGTCATGTTGATTGTGCAGTGAGGTTGTTTCTTGGTCAAAGTAAAGTCCCATGGAATATTGAAAAACATGACATAAATTCCTCTTGAAGGTGGCCATGGTAGCCCCAGTATCTAACTGTGTGACATACATTTAGGTGTCCAAGAAGCAAACTATTGTCCTAGTCCTTTTCCCTGCACAGGGGATCCTTTAATAGTTCAGTCACTCAGTTGCTATTTTCCTGACCAGGTGGCTGGGTTGTTGACAATGGCCCATGATTTAGTGGAAATGGAGCAAAATACAGTGTAAGGGACAGTCAGCATGGCTGCTATCATTGCACGTAGTGTGGCCCATTGGGTAGAATGTCCATGTTCAGTGTCAGTCAAAAGACGCCATCCCCTGGCTGGATGGTGGGCACACCCATTGGACCCACTGGCATCTGCTTTGTATAATCATCAGGTCCCCATGCCATACTGACACAGGTATGTCTCTGAATCTTTGGCTCATTGTGGCCAAAGGAGAAACTAAATTGTCCTCTATGGGTCATTCGTTCCCTTCCAGGAAGCTTGTCATTTGTTTATGGGCATTCATTCATTTGCACATGGATCCTGTGGGAACTGGGTTAGGGCGAATTCTGACTGCATCATTTCCATTTAATAATTTGGATCTGTTGGGCCAGTCCAGCTTTATTGATTGTGTTTGTAGGCACCAGAATGAGAATGGGTAGTTAAGGTAGCGGCATCATGCCTGATGCTCTAGCTCTGAGACACTCAGCCCCTATCAGTGTCCTACAGCAAGCAAGGGGTGGCCGTTCAAAAGAGGCACAACTGGTGTCTGCTGTTGCCACAGGCTTCAGTCAGCATACATAGAAATAGTGAACACCTGGATTTCCATCAAGGAAGCAGGCTTTAAAGGTTTTAAAGAGTGCTTCAGTCATGCCTTGTTGAACAGATTCCAAGGGTATCATTGCAAAGGGCCTTGTTCAAGGATGGCAACTTTGTTTGTGATTTTGACTAATGTGACCAAAAGAATACCCACGTAAGGTTTCTACTGTCCCCAGTACCCAAAAATACCTAGTATCTTCTTGGTCTCCTTCTTATTAGTGGATGCCACCAGGACCAACAACGATTAACTATACCTGGGATACCTCCTCGTAACTATACCTGGGATACCTCCTCAGTTTCCTTTTCAGGTGGCCTAGGCATTCATCCTTCAACAGTCCGTCACTGATCTGCCAAAGTGGGTCATTCCATTGTGACACCAGGCTTTGTGACATTTTCATCTTTTTGTAGCAACTATTAAATTAACTAGGTAGTGTTCCAATCTCCATTGAATATGCAGTCCTGCTTTTGCTGAATAAGGTTCTGGGGCTTGGAATGTTTAGGTGGCAGCCAGGAGTGGATATGCCCCACTGTCATGCCTTGAATACTTAGCTATGAGCGGGGATAGCCCCTCAGGCAGCAGTGATGTTCTGTGGCACAGCAGCAAAATGTCAGTACCTCTGTTGCACTCTGCAGTGAGAACCATGGTCACCAGTTCCCAACATGGCCCAAAGGGAATGGTCCACATGCAGATCAGGACATGAGCACACACTCACCACGGGGTCCTCATTTGTCCTGACACCTTCTGATGTCATCAGTTTAATTTTTTCTCAGGGGACCTGGGAATATTGACAGGTGGATTACAGCATATAAAAATCCCAGAGAAGTCTGAATTCCTTTTTCTCAACTTTTATCTTGAGAGGAATATAGGGCCAGTAGCCTCTGGTGGAGACCTTGGCCCTATTCCTTTGTCTGCACCTTTCAGACAAAGACATTTGTGTCTGCAATGTGGCTTAACCTAACAAATACACCAGCCAGGGTGCATAAGACTTCCCTGGCTTTTTCATGTCTCTTTGTAGAGAGTGAGCCTCCTTTGCTGTGAAGGCTCTTTTTATTCATTTTGGTTCCTTCTCAGATGCTTCAGGGACCATTGAGAGTATCTTTCTTGTTTTATCTTGAGTGACTCAGGGTCCATCTGGTTACGCAAAAGTGGTGGGATTACAGGCTTGAGCCACCATGCCAGGCCTAGAATTTGTTTGTTTGTTTTTTTTCTGATCATTTTTAAATTTTCTTCTGAGTTACTTGTCTGAACTTACTGATAGTACCTGACTTAAGATAGTTTGAGTTATGGTTTTTTGACTTTCAGATGGTGTGAATGTGATATGCATTCAAGTAGAAATAGAACTTCTAGTATTCATACAACTATTGTATTTTCTCTTTCAGTACAGGATTCAATACATTACATGAGGTATTCAAAACTTTATTGTAAGATAAGTTTGTGTAAGATAACGTTGACCAACAGTAAGCTAATGTAAGTGTTCTGTGCACATTTAGGATGGGATAGGCTGAGGTATAATGTTCAGTGGATTAGATGTATTAAATGTATTTTCATGTATGAAATTGAAAAATCTGCATCTCACATGGTGTTTGACCACAGATATCTCTGTTTCTTTTTATTTTTAATATCAATCTTTAGTTTGAATTTATAGGAACTGCACATGTGTCTGCACAGCGAAGTGGTCACCAATGATTTGAGACATTTTGCTCAAATATCTGGAGTTATAAATCTATCCTCTGTCAACCCATCTGTGTGTGGTTTAAAAAGCAAACTGCATACAAAATGCAGCTAGTTCCTACCTCCCTCTGGTTTTACTTTGCACAGGAAACTCCTGGTTCTCATCACTCATATCTATAGCTTCTAGGTCACTAGGAATGTGTGTAGAGATTGTTTCAGCAATATGGGTCTATCTTATCCAGGAATCTGCTATTTACCGTCAGCAGATGTACTACTTGCCCCAAACAGGGCATCATCTTGGACTAGCAAAGCTATGGGCTTTTTCTGTTCATTTCCTATGGAGTTCTCCACATTTAGCTGGAAAAACACTGAAGAATTTTTTTCCACTCCTTGGCTTTACTCAAGTCCACCCACTTTGGCAGCAAGCTGCCAGTTTTATTTGCTATCCTCACACTGGTAAAACTCCAGTTCTGTAAATCATGCTGAATGACCTGGGAATAAAACAGTGCTGTCACAGGTAAAAAGCTATATACAGACTTTATCTGTCCTTACTCAAAGCACTAGTACTTTTTTTTTCTATAAAGAATATGCATCCTTAATTACTTCATGGTTCGCCAATTTTCAGAGTGCTGAAAGAGTTTTGATATTTCGGCTTCATAAGTGTGTTTGTTGTTTATTTTTGCACAGAAGATTTATTAAACTCTTTGTGATGCCATAAACAGAGATGCCTTCTAAAATGTGATTAATAGCCATGCTGAAATGGAATGAGGCAATGGATTAATATAAGTCATTTTGGACTTTAGAACGTGAACTCCAAAACAGCCAAATAGAGCAGAGATGCTAAAACTGTGCGGCCACCCCACTAGCTGTCTGTCAAGGAAGCAGCTGGTATAATCAGTAAACACTGAGGGTCTTGTTGAGGTTTTTGTTTCATGTTGAATCACTGTGGGTTCCAGTTATTATACTGCTGACAGTAATAAACTGCAAAATCTTCAGGCTCCAGGCTGCTGATGGTGAGAGTGAACTCTGTCCCAGACCCACTGCCACTGAACCTGTCTGGGATGCCAGTGGCCCTGCTGGATGCACCATAGATGAGGAGCCTGGGAGCCTGCCCAGGTTTCTGCTGGTACCAGGCTAAGTAGCTGCCAACACTCTGACTGGCCCTGCAGGAGAGGGTGGCTCTTTCTCCTGGAGACAAAGACAGGGTGGCTGGAGACTGCGTCATCACAATTTCTCCGGTGGTATCTGAAATTGGAAAGAAAACAGAAATGCACTCATGTAATCAAGATCAAACCCACTGCCTTTGAGGACAGCCAAAATTGTTGATCTACATTGAATTTTAACTATATTTCTTGCTGAGCAGAGGTGGCTGGAGTTTTCAGTGATGTGCAAAACCACCTTATGTTCCCCTCACCTGGGAGCCAGAGTAGCAGGAGGAAGAGAAGCTGTGCTGGGGCTTCCATGGTTCCCTCTGAGTCCTAACTGAGCAGTTCCTCCCCAGAGCTCTGACCCAGGCATTGATATGGGGTCTGGAAGTTAAGGCAGCTAGGAGGGACATGCAAAGCAGCTAGGGTGGGAGCTGGGCTTCCAGCTGCAGAGACCACCTGCTTCTTCCTCTCTGCACTGAGCATCCTGTGCCGCCCTGGTTGTCAGAGATCAGAAAAGTCAGTTGGCTCAGTCTGAGCGTAGAACTTCCCCCTGGTGATCACAGAATTTCACTCCTGTGTCTTTCTTCTCCTCAATCACCTAAATTCACCCAGATGATGTTTGCTACAAGCCTGTTAAGAACAATATATAAGGCTGTGTTTTCATTTCTCTCTTCCTGTCCTCAGTATGCCCAGACATCTCCCTAAGTGCATTATTGGATCCATCGAAATGAAGAGTCTGTTAAAACATAATCTTCCAGACACAC